GGTTAAAATGACACGACTTCAGATTCACACAGTGAGTCACGTGGACGACTTCATCCTGCAGCTTTGACAAAAAAAGGGAAGTTCTTAACATGACCACAACTAAAGCTAGTTTTTCTGTAGCACTGGCCCGTTGTTCTGCACCACAGTTTGACTAGTGGAGCGATGGAAAATGAGCCACAGCAGGAGAGCTCAGTGTGGTTTGATGAACTTCAGGGCAATTAATCCACTCATTAAACCTCCTGGGAGATGACATATGGCCTCAGGCAGGAGAGATCTGGACATGCACAGAGTATCTGTAAAAGCTGTCTCCACTGTCACTCTCCTAAACATAAAGGGATGGTCTGAGTGGGATGGAGAGGAGGGAGGAGGGGAGGATCCTGGACAGTGTGACCCCCCCCCCCCCCCCCAATAAAAAAACAGGATGTGCATCAGGAAGTCCAGACTCTAGTGAGTGCACAGGAGGGAGCCTGTCGCTGTCTCTGGTGCTGAAACGCCTCCACTGCTGCAGGATCATCATCACCTCCGTTCTGAATTCACCTTSTCACCTGTGACATCAGCACTAAAGTAAGTTTTGATGTCATCTAATCATTTTCATTTTGGGACACTTACTTAGGTAACGGATGATTCTGCTGCATCTAAACTTTGTAATTTCTTAATTGCGGTGCTGTAAGGTAACTACATAGCTAAGATGTTAGAAGGTTAGGAGCTGATACATAACTCCCAGTGATTACTGGATCTGTGAACAAAAGGGGCTCCTATTAATTCCCCTGAAAAAATGTCGTAACACTTCATTATTTACTCTTCAGGTACTTGTGCTCTGATCATTCACAAGTCTTAAAAAACAGTTTAATCTGTTACTTAAGAGCAAGATGCCCTGCTTTATTACACAGATTATTACATCACTGAAAAATTAAAATCATTTRTAGATGCTTAATGATACTTTCCCTACAAGAGCAGGAGAAAAAATAGAAATTTCACATTTCTCCATTCGTTCCATTCGCAAAATCTTAGGGTCATGCAACATTTAAATAAAAGTTGTGTGTAAAATAATTCTTCAGCCTTTGCAATATTTTTTGAAGTCCTTGACACATTCAGAGCTATTGTGGTATAATCCACAGGAATCAATGACAGGAACATGTTACGCCACGAGGAAGACCATATGTCACTGGGTTATGTCGGAGAGTATTGACTTTGTGCACATACGTTTTCCACTAAACCTTCTGTTTTTAATAATATTATTTCAGTAAAAATGTATACTGTCTTTAATAGTCCCTTAAAGAATACGTTTTTATTCTTCTATTTTATGTGATTCCATTATCAGACACCACAGTGTGRTTAACCAGAATCAAATCTGCTTCATCAATAATCAAATCAATTAATTCTGATCCTTTTGTTAGAAGAGTGGGTAGTTAAAATGTGGTACAATCAGGAAAAACATTTTGATTGTGTTGTGTAATTGTATTGTCTGTGATTACACTGAAGGATTTAGAAAGAACCAAATCCAGCCGTTGTCCTGTCATGTTTTCTGTCAGCTGATCTAAAAATCAGTTTAATCCTTAAATGCATGAATAAAGCAGGGTTATTCTGGGAAAAAATCTGAACATTCTTCATGTTGACAACTGAGTTGTTGGTCATTCCGCTGCCATGTGAACAYTCAGGTTGTGTTGGGACCACGGGTCGTTTCCTAACTGGTCCTGAGGCAGACATTTTTATCTTCATTGTCCCATCAAGACCTCTATTAAACCTTCCCTTAGCCCCACCATCCAGAGGGACAGGGAGGCAGAACATGTGTTTGTGAGGATCAGCGGGGGCGGTTCGAAGGGAGACAAAACCTCCTGGAATAGAAAACGCTGACTTGGGAAAGTGCCTGCATCAGGAAATGTATTTTCACCCCGTGGCTCATTAAACAGGCCCCAGAGAGGATTTCTGAGCAACAGTGAAGCGATGACATATTTCTCCTCCATCTTCAGAGTCTAATTTCTGTGAGAGGTAGCGTGTTTCTTAAATTTGCTCACAAGAGTTAGACACAAGTTCTGCAGTGAAACTCTCACTTAATACAGCTCACAAGTGGTGTAAAAAATGATCCAATATTTGTAGAAATACTGTATCAGATGTTTAAAAATGAAGTTATGGTATGAACCACTACAGTATCTGTTGAAGATAACCTCAGTTTGGAGAAACAGACTTAAATTACCTTTAGTTTGTTTGGTTTTGACTTCATTTTTGCACTAAGTGTAGTAATTAATGTCTGCTAAAACTGCATTATTGCACAAGTGCCCTTTTCTCTGACAGTTATTTTTTTCAATGAAATCACTCTTCTAATCTCTCTGATGTGCAACATTTTATTTGATTAAGCTCTTCTCACTCCTGTGCACAATTTTTTTTACGTAATTATTTTTATTTTATTACACACTGCTCTATATGCTGCTCTTCAATTTGGTRTTTGCATTTGAAGTTCCTCTTTTGGATGGATAATTATTCTGATTTTGATTCTGAATTTGGACCATGACAACAAAACTACTGTCAGTCTAATTGAGGCCAGGAGCAAATCTGCTGTTTTAATACAAATCTGAATTAAAAAAAAGTTTAATAGGAGCATGTTTACTAAACTGTTGGGTTGCCTCACAAGATTACTCTGGCAGAAATCTTCTGATCTTCCTGCAGGAAGTGTCCTGTGCTGTTTCCAGCCCTGTCACACTTTAACGTTTTAGACAACTTTTGCCAACTTATGACAAGTTTGTCCAACACTAAAGATGTCTACGCTGCAGATGGAATAAAAAAAATCTACTGGAAGTCTCTTTTGGACCGACACATTTAATGCTAACAATTAGACTGAATGCATACATGATAAGAGTAAAATAGTCATAACAAAATTTTCATAAGTCAGCATAAGTTGTCTAAAATGTTATAGTGTGACAGGGCCTTTCAGAAGCAATACAGCTAGCTGCTGCTGCAGTAGGATTTCATGTACATAAATAAACATGTTGTGCTAATTTAACAGAGTGTAAATGTTTTTAAACAGTGTTCATGTGAACCACAATGAAAACATGATTGAACTTATGTTAAAAGATGGCAGCAACACATTTTTTTCTTGACTCGGCTTGTATTAGATAMATTTTTWAAATTSAAAAGTGAAATGATTTCAATCMTTTTTTACAACARGYAAGATGTTGATTGTTCATAACCTTTCTGCAGAATCTCACTTGAAATATTTGAAATATTTAAAAACGTAGAGTAACAAGAAGCCTCTGGAATAAAAAAAGAAGCTTTGACTCCTTTTCTCTTTGCGCCCTCCATCCTTACCTCTCTCTCTCTCTCTCTCTCTCTCTCTCTCTCTTAGGTTTCATGAGGAGTTAATCATCAAATGAAGATGTTTCTGGTGCCTCAAGATGAAGAAAACAATACAAAAACTGAAGCGTTTCTGGAAGTCAACAACTCAATAGAGGAGCACCTTTAAAATGTTTTCTTAAGTGGATCAAGACGAATCATTTACATCCTGCAAGATCTACAATTTGTCTTTGGGGCGACTTCATTGAAATTTGTGCATCACGTTGTAATTACAAAACTAAATTAAAAAGCATTGCTCTGGCTTCTGTTCAAAAACATTTAATAAACAAGAGTTTATTGAATTTCAAGGATCAAGTCGTTTGGTTCTCTTGAGGATGATTATGTGCAGGAGGGGAGTAATGGAGGAGGACCTGACTCCAGCTAATTAGATGTGACTTAAGCTCAGTGATCATGTCTCGGCTTGCTGCTTGTTTTACCTGAGGGTGTTTTCTTTTGCAACACTGCTCTTATTATTTTTGCTGCGACTTTAGGGACAACACCCCACGTGAGAGGAACCATAGATAGAGATGTGCGAGCAGACCCRCAACTTCTGACTGCAGATCAAATATCAACTATTTCCACCCCCCCCCCCTAACACACACCCTTTCTCCCAAGATGAGCGATACGCCTTACTGGGTTGCAGACTATGATTTCTCCTCTCCTGCTTCTCCCGGGTTCCCCAGGGGTTCGACAGCGCTGCAGCCCACTGCGGGGCACCCCGAGCAGGGATCAGCCTTTTGCTTTGTTGGCCTCCTGGTTCTGCTGCTGCTSTTCCTCGTGGTCCGCTGTGTGCGGATCCTGCTGGATCCTTTCAGCAGCATGCCGTCGACATCATGGACAGACCACAAGGGGCTGGACAGAGGACAGTTTGATTATGCAATGGTGTAAATATGAAAAGATAAATTAGGACGAGGAGGAGAAGGAGATCTGCAGCAGGACATCTGACTAATAATGTTTGTATATATATGACTCATCACAGCATCACTGGATTACCTGCATATAAAAACCCATGAGAGCCATTATTATCAACCACTGCTGAAGGCAAAAGGCAACAATGTTTTTGCCCATGTGTGCATGTGTT